GGGGGGGGTGAAGGCAAACGAGAGGCAGCTCCAGGTGACGCCATCGTCTCCACGTCTTCTACAGTAAAACAGGGAGGCGAGTTTTAACGTGAAACAATAAAGTGCATTAAAATAGACTGTGTGTTTGTTGGGATGTCCCGCCCTGGCTGCATGGATTTAAGAATTAGTGTATGAAGAGTTTACGAGGCCAGTAAACCGGAGACATGAAGCGACAGCGTGAGGCAGGAGACGTGATGGAGGAGGAAGGACGGCCACACAAACACCGACTCGTACCTGCGTCCCTTTGAGGTCTGCGGGGTCGGCCTTTTCACCGCGGGCTCCGGGGCCGCGAGGTGACGAACGCGGCGTTTGCGGCAGGGGGCCACGTCCGTGATGTCCCTCAGGCTGTCGTCCAACGGGCTGGGAGTGGAGGAGTCTGCAGAGGACAGGAGACAGTCAACAAAGAGACAGGCCGTCTAAATGGATTTTAATTACACTTTTATCTTCACAGAGTTCGTCTTTATCACGTTTATATCCGTCTCTGCTGCACGGACACAGACGGGAAAGAAAGACGAATAAATAATCTGCAAATTCAAATGGAAGGAATCTGATATCTCCATTAAAACTCACTTAACAAATCAAGACAATAATGTTAATCGTGTCCATTAATGAGCTGCTTTTAGCCGTGTTCATGTTCATGTTCCCCTCTGGATGAACTGTAATAACCTCACTGATCCTCTGACTTTCCCTCTAACTCCCTCATCACTTCCTCTGTTTGACATCAGCAGGTTAGTGATGTCATCAATCGTTTGGTGACTGTCACCCACTCATCCTTAAGTGTAGTGGATTATTATTATATAATATATATATACAATATATAAACTATCATATATCCCTTAACAAATAAAACCAGGAAGTGTAAATGTTACGGCTGAAAACAAGTTTTCGGGAGTTTTAATGGTTTTTCTTCAACGTTAGCTGAAGCACATTGACAGAGATCTTCAGACATGACGCAGCTCCTTTATGGAGGAGTTTTATCTATGTAGTTTAGTTTCAGAAAAACTGACTGAGGGAACAACAGAGAATTTACTCTGACATGAACTAATCTGCCTGTGAGTTTTGAAGGTCAGTGTATGGACTGGGTGAGCTGCAGAGGTAATTGCCCTTCTTGGGGTAAATAAAGTCGTCTGAGTCTGAATCTGAGCAAATAAATATGAAAAAAAAAAAATCACTTTTTCCAAATTTTTCTTTACAAGACTGAAGAGTCTGCAGCCGAGCTCCAGCTCTGTGAGGCCGGACCTCAGCTAAATGCTAATGTTAGCATCCCCGGCTCCTCCAGTCTGCATGACCTCAGGCAAGATACTGAACCCCTGATGGCTGTTTGAGTGTGTGTGTGTGTGTGTGTGTGTGTGTGTGTGTGTGAGTGTGTGTGTGTGTGAGAGAGAGTGTGAGTGTGTGAGAGAGAGTGAGTGTGTGTGTGTGTGTGTGTGTGGGGCTTGTATTGTAAAGCGCTCTGAGTGGCAGATAAAACTAGAAAAATGAAGTTACCATAGTTTTAACTGGGAGGGGCTGAAGGTCGGTTTATTATTGACGACAGATTGTTGTGTCGACTCTCACCAGCAGAATCTGAACTCACCACACAAAACAAACCAACCACAACTTTACTCCTGCCTCCTCCCCTCCCCTCCCCTCCCCNATGCGAGCCACACGGCTGTTGCTCAGCAGCATCCCACGTCTTTATGTGCGTCATTTAAGCAGCTTTCATCGGCTGCACCTCCCCTCCCCTCCCCTCCCTTCCCCTCCCTCCGCCTGTCTGTTGACAATAACTGGAAACCTGCAACCGTCTGAGTCGTTGTCCTAGCAACAGAAACAACATCAGACGAAACGTGGGAACCTACGTCGCCCAACAAACCTCGACGTATCAACGTGTCTGTGGATGAGAAAGTGGAAAAATGAGGGAGGGCAACAAAGAAAAAAAAGAACTGCCCCTCCCTGACAGGTGACTTATGTCCCGGCCTCGAGGGGTCGTCTGAGGGCTGATGAAGCTGCTTGCAGACCCTCTACTCTGCATTACATAACTCCTCAGTGATGTCATGCTTCATTTCTGGGCAGCGACGGTGCAAACACACTCGGCTGCCATGACGACAGCTCCCGAAAATATCATATTCACACTCATACTTTACAAAAAGCATTTTGCTTTTTTTGACGACTACAGTGTTTTGACATGAAACTGTGAAACACGTCTGAGGTCTGCACGCGGCCCGATGAGTGACGCCCCTGCAGGTGTTTCCCATCAGCCATCCTGTCAGGACACCTGCAGCTGGAACTCTGAGCCCCGTGTGATTTAATGTTTTCTTACCTGCTCAAATGACTGAATTAACGTCTTTCTGTCGATGATCCATTAGAGCTGCTGCCTGAACACTCACTCTGTAACTGTCACGTTGATTTATACAAATCGCTAATGAGGAGAAAAGGTCGCGACCTCCGAACGTTTCTCCTGTAACCGAGCTTCCTGGAAAAGTTTCCCTCTTAACGAAACTTGACAGTGACAGAAGTTGTGAGGCAGTTTGGCAGACTTTCTGAGGTTTGAGATGAGCAGGGGGATTTTTAACCGAAGAGGAGGACTGATCGCCGAAGGTCTGGAAAAATCAAAACACTTTGAGAACATCTTTTTAAAGCCGCTCTGGAAAAGAGAGCGAGCGACAAGAGGCTCAGTCACAAAGTGACGTGAGACGACAGAGCGCAGAAGTCTCGCCACACTTTTAGCCCACATCCACTCAACCATGTTTTCATTTAAAAAACGATCTCTGTCCAGACTGTCACACCTGAAAACTCACACATACCTGAGCAAGCACCTACACTGAGCATGTGCGAGCCGGTGTAAACAGGAAGTAGATTGTCTCCTCTGAAGGAGGAACAGCAGAGACAGTTGTAGCGTTAAAACAGAGAATGTAAGTGAACAACAGCTGCAAAGACAAGAAGGTCAGTAACTCTGTCATTCATCATCATGTTGTATTAACCACTGGTAGTCCATGCTGATGAGAGCCAATCAGGAGAGACCATGGGTGTGACCTCATTGTTTACAAAAGTCTCAGTTTCTGTCCATCCAGATACAACACAACCCCAGAGTTTTCAAAATAAAACACAACCCCAGAGTTTTCAAAATAAAACACAACCACAGAGTTTTCAAAATAAAACACAACCACAGAGTTTTCAAAATAAAACACAACCCCAGGGTTTTCAAACTAAAATGGGACCAGCAGCGCCGTGTGGACAGGAAGAGGAAACGTAGCAAAAGAGACGAGTTTTAAAACAAAAACGTAGCAGTGTGGACGGAGCCTTAGTCTAGTTTATGTTCCACAACATGTCGTATTTGTGCAGTGAAGTCCAGTTTTAAGCGACTCCTGTAGCCTCAACATTAAAGTCATTTTACATGCTCTCTGCAGTTCGTAACAGATGATTTCCCAGCGGCCGTGTGGAAATCAAACCACTGCGGCTCAAACTGCAGACAGACCAACATCTCTTTAACCAGCTACTTGTCGTTCAGGTGATTAATCAGCTGTTGTGAACCTCTAACTTCACACCAAACGACCAGACAACAGTCTTCGCTGATGCTGCTCCAACATTATGGAAACAGTTGCCATTAGAAATCAGCTGTTCGGCCTCCGTCTTTATTTTTAAAACTCGGCTAAAGACACGTTTTTATCCACTGGCCTTTTAGTCCATTGTCATGTTCATAATTTTTTATTTGCTCCTTGTTATTTCCTTGTTTTTGTCAGTACGTTTAAATGTTTCTGTCTCTAGTATATTTACTATATTTTATTTGTGTTTTTCTTATTTTATTCATGTGTTTTACTTGCTTTTCTTTATTTTATTGTCCTTTGTTCAGCTCAAGCTGTTTAAAAACACTGTAGAAATAAAGTCGACCCGCTGAACCGTCGTTAACAAAACTTCAGCTGAGCTTTTCCAGCTGTGACAAGTCAAATATCTGACTGTGGAAAAGGTCACTGACCTCGACACACAGCAGCAACAGTTGGAGGAATATGTCAGAATTCACAGGGATCAGTGATGGAGATGAACACTGAATCTAATGTGATTAAAAAGCTGCGATTTCTGGAATAAAAGCTGAATTTCTCATCGAATAAAAGCTGAATTTCTCATGGAATAAAAATGATTTTGTTATTTTAACTTTTGCTGCTGCATCCTGCATTTGCGAGGAGATATTTTCAGCTGCTGCTGTTCGCCTGGCTGTTAGCAGCTTATACTTGTACACATAAATCCACATGAAATATTCCTGTTTGTTGGAACCACCTTCAGCACCAGGTTTAAACAGGAAGGAAAAGAATCATGTTGTGTGTCTGTGTGTTGGTTTGAGAGGTTACTGGAGGTCAGACGAGGTAAAGCTGGAGGTGTAGGAAGCTTCACTGACAGATATCTTACCCTGGGACTGTGCAGCGGGAGCTGGAGTCGACTGCTCCTCCTCTGGCTCCTCATCAGTGCTCCCTCCATATTCATCCTCCCCCTCCTCCTGACCTTCTGTTTGGCCTGATTTCACTGACTCCTTGTTTTTCTGTCCCTCAGAGCTCCTGCAGCCGAGGCCAGAGGATGAACATGATTCATTCTACAACATGAAACTGTTCAGAAATGATCATACAACACTGAGTTATCTCTCATATGACTTTCAGCACGGAGGAGATGAATCAGAGGGTTGCAGCGATAAAGGAAACGGACGTTAAAGAAAGTCAGTTGAGCAACTACTTCTCTCAGATTTATGACTCTAAAGAAAATGTGTGTGGTTGGTGCTGAAGCATCTTCAGCAGCTTCAGAGTCTTTACTTGAGATGTTGGATGAAAGTCACAGATGCAGCTGAAAAAACACATGCAGTAGCAGGATCCATTTGCCTTTTTGAAGACATCTGAGCAGCTACTTCTTCAGACTGGACGCGACAGTGACTCGCTATTGGAAAAGAGCTGAAAATTTCTGAGACACATTTTCTAATATAAAAGATCAATTTGAAGCAGAAACACTATGAAACTACGACCGACTGTAACGTCCTGTTACCATGACGATACCTGGTTTCCTGCAGGTGTGTGACAGTCTCCTGCAGACTGCGGATCTTGGCTTTCTTCTCATTCAGGACGAGGATGAACCGAGAGTAGAGCTCCGCCTCCAGCGCCTCTTTACCACCGGTGTACCGCTTCAGTCTTTAACACACACACACACACACACACACACACACACACACGTATATAAGTATATATATCTATTCAAGTATTTCCCTCCCAGTTAAAGGGTAAAAGAGTCATGCTACTTTTTAAGGGATTCTTGCCCCTGAAAACACCTTAAACTGAGCAGCTAATCCATAGAAAACACTTAATTAAAAACATATTGTAACATTTTGTAATATAAATTTATTTATCTATTAATTTTTCTCCAATCTGAGCCAAACTCCTGAATTTTCACCTTACTAAAAAATATTATTTAGTCAATTTGGTGTAAAGGTGTTTTACCCTTTAAAAACACATTGATCCATTAAAAAAAAACCACCTTAACATGTTATAGTCCATTTATTTATCCACTACTGAACCTATCAATACCTGAATACTCAATAAGAATCCGTTAAATTAACAATAATCTGCAAATATTTCAGACCCTTAAACCAAAATCCCAACTTTAAAACACCTTAAATTAATAATAAAAGGATTTCTAATCAATGTGTGCATTAAGGGGAAAGTAATGCAGCCTGATTAGTTAATAAATGACTTAAAGACACATAGAGACTGAACTGAAGCGGACTCTGTGGATTGCGGGGGCCTCCGACTCATATTAACACCCCTGTGACATCAGTTCATAGCTCAAAGTGACGAATGCCCCCCCCCACACAGTGTTACATGAGTTGGGTAATCACTCAGAGGAACCTGTGATGGATTTGAGGAACTAGATCTTGTGGTTTGAACCTTTCAGTTGTGCAGGTCTCCATGTAAACGTCACTGACTCTGAGTTTATCGCCTCCTCTCATCATGTATTAAAGTAAACCTGCGTCGTCAGGTTCCGTTACTGGATTTATATCATTAAACAACAGAGGAAAACAGTCTGGTTTCCACCGCAGCTGGTCTGAAGAGAATCTGCAGCTGTTTCATGTCATGAATATGTTTTAATTATTTGTAAAGATTTCCGATATATTCCCCCAAACTTTCAGGAAATCCCCGGACGTTTCCTGGATTCATCCCTGCCTGGTTTTGCTTTTTGTTCTGAGCAGCTTGTTGTGTGTTTTTACTCGGCAGTGATGCGTTGCTGTTCTCGTCTCAGTCTCTGGTTCTCCTCCTCCAGGTTCTGGTTCTGGTGCTCCAGTGTGTTCCCCCTCTGCAGACTGTGGACCAGTAACTCCCTGACGGCCTCCGCCGGCTCGGGGATGGCCTGCAGCGACACGGAGCCCAACCTGAACTGGGAAAGAACGAAGAGAAGGAAAACTGTAATCACTCCATGTCTTAATCAGACATTATTTACAGTGTGTGGAGCTTTTTGTTTGTCTGCCCACAGACTTTCACCACATGGAAGAAGAGTGTCAGTGTTCAAGGAAAATAAACTCATTGATAAAGCCAATAATAAAAGATAATATCAATGGATTTTATCCTGCATGTTGTGATTCTTTGTGTAACTTTTATAAGTTTTCCAGGCTGTGGCAATGCTAAGCTATCTATGCTAAGCTAATACGATGACTAATATAAATACATCACTTTAGAAAAAAACACATGGAGGAGCATGACCTTCAGCAGCCTTTTTTTAAGACATTAAAAAAAATCTAAAATCACCAAAACGATTTCCCCAAAAGCATTAAAGGAGCTACCTGTAAGTTTTGCTATTGCTACGTAGCCACGTTAGCATTAACAGCTGTTTACTGTAAATGGCTCTTGGTAAGACTGGATGAAGCTACTTCTTCAGACTGGATGCGACAGTGACTCGCTATCGGAAAGTGATGAGACAGTCCGACCGCCGGTTAGCATGCTAACTTTAGCACAAAAAAAGAAAAAAAAGAAGTGATAGAAACAGAAGAAAAACAAAAGAGGTTGACAACAGCTGCTAATGCTAAAGTGGCTACGTACGTAGCAATAGCAAAACTTACAGATAGCTCATATAAAGTAAATAGAAAAATACAATTATTAAATAAGATCTGACATTCTGCAAGGTTTCAAATGAGCAGTGGCTTTTTTTCTAGATTTTATTCTGAAAACAGCTGGAAATGAGGCACATGAGGCTCATAAAATCAAAATCAATGCTAAACAGATTTGTAAAAACGCCTCAGAGTCGAGAGGAAGTGCAGAGTCACGTGACAGTTCTCTGTGATTCATCCCCACGAGTGACTCCTGTCATGTCACACACTCATCTGATCCATAGTCAATGTGAAAAAACATTGATTAGCTCATACTGAGTTAATGTAATCTACGTTTTTCAGCCTGGACACATGAGGACAATGAGGATCTAAATAAATAAATATAATCAATAAAAGATGTGTGTGTTTTCTACTGAGGGAAGATGATGTGACAGACACTAACTGTCCATCCTCATCCTCTCTCTCTCTCTCTCTCTCTCTGTAATATCTGCCAGCTCTGACTTCACCACCTCTTAGAAATGTTCAATAAATAAGCTCAGACTGCACAGCCAGATAAAACACTGCTCCACATGGAAACACGTCTTCAAGCCGCTCTGGCAGACTCACCTCCTCGTTTTCACTCCGTCACTATTAAACTCTCAACGGTGACACTGTTACCTGAAGTAAGAGCGTCAGTCGTCACCTGATGGCTCTCCTCATCATTAGAGACCTGAGGTGTAAAAGCTTCAGGTCGGAGCCTGATGTTGCTGGCTGAGGCCGAGACACCGGCCCGTTGGCTGAGGCGCTGTTGATGTGGGCAGAGGTTCCTCATGTTGTCATAGAGACGCTACCGTTCAAAAGCTGACTCACTGATTCACATTAATTAACTGCTGGATACTTTCATATGGGGAGAAACCTCTCAGGGCGACTCCACCTATTCTAAATTTACTGCAGAGTAAATACAAAGCTGGAGGATGTTAAAGTCATTAATACATCCGCACGTCTACAGTGAGAGAAAGAGCTAAGATTAGCCAAGATTCAGAGAACAGGAGGACACGGTAACATCAGTCCCGCCAGTATTTTGTGGGTTTTTTTGGGATTAATAAAATAAAATATCTGATTTCTAAGCAGTTTTTCTCTTCTTCTTTCTTTTCTTAGATGTTTTTTAGATGTTATTAGATGTTATTAAATGTTTCTTAGATGTTATTAGATGTTTTTAGATGTTTTTTAGATGTTTTTTAGATGTTTTTAGATGTTATTAAATGTTTTTAGTTTTTTTTTGCAATTAAAGAGAAAATAAAAATTGCAAAAATTGTCGCCATCTTTTTTTGTATAATTCATTACAAATGGAAGGGAACTTGTTCCAGTGAGAATAAGTGAGAATATGATTTCTGCCTCTGAAACACTTCCATCAGGAGTGAGTGATGACTGAAAGGATGTTTTCTGTCTTTTCATCTTCACTAATTAACCGTTTGATTCACTGAGCAGCTCAGAGGCTACCGGCCGCTACCGGCATCTTTTAAGGTGGAATGTTTTCTTGTGTGTTACTTGATGTGTGATTGACGTTTGGAAATCAATCAATACACTTGACTGTGTATGACTCTGACCATTAGTTTTTATCAGCTCTCTCCATGACAGACTCTTTAGTGACAATCGGATCTTCGAGCTCTTAAAACGCAGATAAATCTCGACGTGATCATGTGACTGTAGATATTTTATAAGTTCATTTTGTGACTGTGACCTTCTGATTCTGATCACACAACATCAGTGACACAGAACCACACTGATACCAAACGCCTCAGTCATCAGACACACAGAGAATGTGCTGACAAACCTCAGCACCACAGACACACACACGCCCGGTATGCTAACCACCTGAGGTAACACCTGTACCTGTGTGGGGGTCTCTGGTGTTTTGCCACGTTGGACAGGAGCTGCGATTAGAGGGAAGCACCAGGCGTTAGACTGCACCCTCTCATCATGACTCATAACTCTATGACGGATGAATTACTGGGTTTTCATGTTGAGCAAGAGAAACTCTGACGACACGTCCACCACACACACACACACACACACACACACACACACACACACACACACACACAGTTTCTAACTCTCGTTTTTTAAAAATTGATTCATTTCCCTTTTACTTCTCTGATTTCCACTGTACCACAGTTACCACGGCGACAAAGGATGTGTGTCCACACCACGAATGAGTGTGTTCGCAGGACTGATCTCTGAAAACAGATTATTCATTCATTCACCAAACACCATCATCACGTTTGTTGTTGTTTGATACGGTCTCCTAGCAACATCCATCCTCCCAAATCGACAGCATAAATCCTTTTATTGACTCAAATATAAAATCATTTTCATCATCAATTAAATGGATTATTTTCTCTTTGGTTTGTTAAAAGTGAAAAATCTCCGTCACAAACTCAGGAGATTTTTTAAAATGTCTTGTTTTGTTTAAAAAATAAAAAATATTCTGTTGACTATCACACAAAATTATAAAAACAACTAATTATTTACATGTAAGAAGCTGGATAAAGAGATTTTTTTTTCATTTTCTCTTCATTGACTAATTACCAACTCATGGTGACACGCCTCCACCAACTAGTGCAGTTGCAATAAATAAAGCATGTGACCTTTGACCTTTGACCATCAAAATCTAGTCAGTTATTCTTTGAGTCCAAGTGAATGAATTGATCTGTGACCTGCTGAAATGTGAACATGAAAATCACATGAGAGCAAACACAACGAGCTGCTGCACGAGTCTTTTACTGACGGTGTTCAGATGTAAAGCAGGATCAGGTTAGAAAACGCATCCCTGCTCTCTCACACACATACACACACACACACACACACACACTCAGGTTTCTATAAAAACACGTCACATTCACTCACTTCATCACGTCGTTGCTTCATCAGGAAATGAAAACAAGCATCGTTGAACTCCTCATAACAGAGGAGCGCCGTTATCTGCAGTGAACGCAGCTCTGACGTCATGTGACCCATCACCGCCAGCTCCGAGCGTGGCTCTAACCTCAACAATCCACGCTTCACTTCGCCGAGACACTTAAATAAACGCACTCACACGAACAAGCTCCAGCTGTGATCCGTGCATCACACCGACACACACACGCAAGACTGATGCCTTCAGTGTCACCGTGTCAGAGGTGTGTTAGTGCGGCGCTCACCGAGATGTCCTTCTGCACCTTCTCATACGCCAGTGTGAGGGCGGGGCCTGGTGGAGACGGCGTCAGGGTGAAGCTGTAGGTGACGGAGCCCCCCGTCCCGGTCAGCGCCTGCTGGAGGTCCTGGATGTACCGCTCCCTCTGCATCTCCAGCTCCTCCGCCTCCGTACGCACGGCCGCCTCGCTCACTGCACACAGGAAACTACAATTACCTCCTCGTGGTCGTATCCCTCCGCCACTCAGACGAGCTCCAGGTCACAGTCAGAGAAGATATGAACCTGTGGAATTCTGTCATCATTTCTGTGTGAAGCTAAAAAGTGTTTTGTGAGGTCACACTGACCTTTGACCTTTGACCACTAAGCTCTAATCAGTTCATCATTGAGTCCAAGTGAATGTTTTTACCAAACTTGAAGAAGTTCCTTCAAGGTCTTACTGAGATATCACTGTCACCAGGCCAGAACCGGATTTCATGAGGTCACCGTGACCTTGACCTTTGACCTTTAGCCACCAAAATCTAATCAGTTCATTCTTGAGTCCAGGAGAATATTTTTACCAAATTGGAAGAAACTCCCTCAGGGCGTTACTGAGATATTGTGTTAACAAGGCCACAATCATGTTTTGTGAGGTCACACTGCCTTTGACCTTTGACCTTTGACCACCAAAATCCAATCACCTGAGACACCTCAGACGTATAACAACGTCAGTAACATCAGTGTTTATATTTCATCTATTGCTGTCACATCGTCCTCTGGTTCTCGTGTTTGTTCGATTTAGAACCTCCATGTTTTGCTGCTGCTGCTTCTTCAGGACGGTGACAATAAAGTTATTCAAAGCAGCAATGACCTTTGACCTGATCTAGAACACGGATGTTTGCAGAAGGAACACGTTGCTGAAGAACCTGCAGGATCTGATCTGAAGTCGTGATGGACTGCGGTTCTCCAGGAAGGTTCCAGCACCGCGGTGGATCTCAGCGGCTTCAGGCTGGTGCAGGTGAAACTAATAAATCTGCCAGCGAGCGTACCTGTGCGAGCAGCTGACAAGGTCAACGACCTCACTGCAGGTGAAGTGAGGAAGGTGTGTGTGGTCAGACAGGTGAGCATAAACCTGTCAGGTCGCAGGCATGTAAAAACACCAGGTGACCGTCTTTACCTTCTCCTCTCCACGCATCCTGTCCGTCAGTCAGCAGCAACTGGAAGCCAGAGCCTAAGCCCCGCCCCCTCCAGTCTACCCGCAGGAAGTAGGCGGAGTCAGGCTGAGAGGAGACGTGGATTTCACACACTGACGTGCGCATCCCTGCAGACGACAAACACCAGACACACAAAGTTAGAGGTTGATTTTTATTCACGATGCAAATCTGATTTTAAATGATTATAAATTGAACATATTCGTGTTTTAACGATTAATTAAGAAATTAATTGGCAGATTAATCTATAATTTAAATAATTATATGCAGCCATAAACATGAATTGAAACATCATCTCTCATTGGTTGTTCTCACTGGACACATTCTCAGTATTCATTCAACAAATCAGTCTCATCTCGTCTCCGCCTCGTTTAGTAGCTGTTCCTGAGCTTTCATCCACAGCACATGATCATCCTCAGGACTGCTGTTTCCAAGCTGAAGAATCGACTCTGAGTCCTCGTCTGCAACTTCTCAACAACTGGGCAAATTTCAACAGCTGATGATGAAGATCATGTGAAACGATTGAAAGCCCCAGAACAACTACTAAATTGACTTTTGTCTCCACAAAATTTAATTGAACTTTTTTAAATCTGAACCACTGCCAGAAAAATGTTTTCACACAGCGCTGTGTTTTTGGTTTCGATTTTCTATAACAGGAAAAGTAAGTAAGGAATAAAGGGCCTTTTCATTGTACTGGCAGTCTACTGGTAGCAGAAACCAAACACTGCAAATCTGTCGTAAACCTCAGTCAGGCCTTTAAACCAGATTTATTACTCCAAGGACTTAAACTGTCTCACTGAGAATCCTCAAAACGAAACTTCAACACGTTCTCCTGCAGGAGACTCGGTTCAGGTCCGATCTGCCAGATAAAGACGGAGGGACAGAAACCTTCACCGTCCTGCATCTGACAGCCCGCAATAAGTCATGGAAACAGGGAGAGGAGGTTCGACCGCATCAACAAACTGCACCGGGAACGATCCCAAGTTTCATTTCCAGTCAGATCGACGTCTCGTTCTGTCGGATTCTGAGCTCGTCGCTGCTCAGGACGGAGGTGTGTGTCAGACCTGCTGCAGACCTGTCAGGACTCACACAGCTGTTCTTACATCATTTTCCTGGCATCTGTTGCCGCCTGCTGCTGTTCACGTGCCAGCCAACACTTCACACCCCCCCCCTCCTCATCACCGCAGCTTCAGCCATCCAGCAGAATAACTGCACTTCCTCAACGTTGCGCTGGTTTTACAGCAGCTACTTCAACATACTGCGAGTGTCTGTGAGCAGCAGTGGATGCAGGAGGCCCAGCTTCTGTTTTATGGGGAGAATAAAAGACGTATTGAAGGTCTGCAGGGAGAACGGTTCTGTTACACATCAGAGACTTGGACACGAGGAACTGAACCAGTGGAAACACACACACTGACGTGAGCTGCTTCAGAGCTGCTGACGGTGAAGATATTAAAGATATTAAACTATTAAAGAAAGACAGACAGTTGTTGTTTCTCATGTTCATGCAATTAACTCCCTGAACAGTCCCGTTAGCATGCCTGGCTAACTAGCTGCTCAGGTAACGACTATGCTAGCTACAGAGACGCACAGTCAGGAGAGGCAACACAGGCAAATGTTTGGGGCCCAAAATGGGAAAAGGGGGTCCCTGATGGCCCCTCCTATTGGCACATTTTGCAATGACAACTATAAACCCCCTTAAACCTCCTGTTGCTGCCCCAAACCCCCCTAAAGTGGGGATGATGTTGCCCCCCCCCCCAAGGGTCCGGGACAACCAAAAACAATGCAGTGAATTAGCCTGATCTCCCGTCCTGTTTGTTCATGTTGAACGTGAAAGCTAATTCCAAACTAATCTTGCTTTTCCCTCGAAGCTTTCAACCACATCGCTTGGTCTTCATCAGCAGACGAAGCTGTTCTTTATTTCATGATATCGTAACGTGAGGGTTCGATATCTGCCGGTTTGGATCCGCTCCACGACAAAAACACTTCCTGTCTCTAAGTCACATGACGCCAACCTAACCAATCAGATGCGAGGAGGTAAATAAGAGGAAAACTACAAAGATGGATTCAGGAGGTCACTCTTACTGTTTTTAAAGATGCACATGTAAATATTCAAACTTGTAAATATGTAAATAATTAACTGTATAAACACTGTACATAAACAGTATGAATGAACATCTAAAGCTTGATCTATTTAATGTTTATTAAATGAACCTGGGCAGAAAAATCTAATTAAGTCTCAACCACCAAACGTTTCCAGAAACAGACTCCAGATCAGACGTTCGCTCTCCGTTCCCCTCAGTGAAATATGCACAGACCTCTTGTTATGTCATTGTTAAACACGGGTTTTCCTCAGTGCCGTTCGCTGGTGTAATGACCAAAGTGAGCAGGACTGTTGTAAATGATTAGTCCAGCTTCATGCAACCGTGTCATCACAGCTGTGTAAGCACTGTAATGCGCTAATACACAACCTCTCATTAGGCCTTAAGTACAGGCCGAGCAGAGAGGAGCAGAGAAACTCACACCTCAGTTAGCTGGATGCTAATGACTGACCACAGCGGCATGCTTCCTCACACAGCCGACACATGTTTCTGCAGCGCGACAACAGCAGCTTCATCTTTAACAACATCCTCTTCACACCTGCTTCACAGATACATACACACACACACACACACACACACACACACACACACGAGCCTCTCATCTAGATAAAACAAGATGCTGGAGGAATTCAAAGTCACCGTTTCAGACTTTTAGAAACGTGGAGGAAGTTTATATCAAACACTTTTTCAAGTGAGATGAGAGCGTCGGTTCCTCCACCTCTCTCTCATGAAACCTGGAGGCCGATACTTTTTATATTCCACCACCGCTGCAGGTTAATTAATAACTAGAGTCACTTCCTTGTGGTCGTATCCCTCCGCCACTCAGACAAGTTCCAGGTCTCATCCCTGTTGATCCAGAGTCAGAGAAAATATTAAATATGAACCATTTGTGTGAAATTTTGTCATAATTGCTGCGTGAAGTCTTAAGTAGTGGCTAAAAAGTTTTTTGTGAGGTCACCGTGACTTTGACCTTTGACCACCAACATCTAATCAGTTTGTCCTTGAGTCCTGGTGAATGTTTTGTGCCGTATTTGAAGACGTTCCGTCAAGGCGTTACTGAGACATCGTGTCCACGAGAATGAGACGGACGTACGGACAACCCGAAAACAAAATGTCGCCGGCGCCAAGGAATAATAAAATGATTTTTAACTGGAGCCTGAAGTGAATCTGTCTTCTGTCCGTCCACAAATAGATGAAGTGACTAACAAGCTTTGAAAATGTGAATCAGATTTCATGATCTCAGATTTTCTGTCCTCGGCTCAGAGAAGAATCTCCAGCTGATTGTGGAAACTGTGTTTGAATGAATCCAAACGACTCAACTTCCAGATGTTTAATGAGGTTTGGTGCGACTTTCTTTCCACACAGGAGCGATCAGCTGAGCCTGAGACGACAGCAGGGAGGGAAAATATCCCTCCTCTGGTCCAGTAACACACACACACAGACACACACACACAGACACAGACACACACACACACACACACACACACACATACACACACACACACACACACACACACACACACACACACACACAGACCTCAGGGAATAACACATAACACCTTTTATATTGAACATCTTACAGTATAAAGAGCTGTGGACACAACCTTTAGCACAGACTGAACCATATCATATCATGATTCCAGTTGAATCGACGTTTTTGTATTTTATTTTCACTGACAAAAAAAGAGATTATTGCGATTTTGATTAAATTTTGATTAATTGTGCAGCTCTAATATTTATGAATTAATATTATTAATTAATAGACAAAGTAGTAAAACACACTATAAATAATGTACCTTCTTCTTCAGTGGGCCGATATGTCATGTGACCCAGTGTAGCTCAAAGACGGCTCAGCTCTTTATATTGTACTTAATAAACTTTATTTATGGTCTAATTATTAATATCATTTTGCATAATTGTTACTCTGGTCAAATATGACACCACTGTTTATATTCTTCTGTCCACACGGTGCAACTGAATGAAGACGCCGGTCCCTCATGACCGACCTGTTTGTAAACACACAGACTGACGCTACAGCACGTGATCTGACGCACACACTCCCCGATCCGGACCGATCCGGACCCCAGAACCAGCCCGTTAAGTTTCGGTCTTACCCGGAGATTCAGTCGGTGCCACGGTTCGTCCCGCTGAAGAGAAGAAGCTCACCTGTTTATCTTTAACGGCTCACAGCTGTACCGGGAACGGCGCGTCTTACGTCATCAACAGGCGACGCAGCCACACGGCTGATCCCTTTATGTTGTGGATGTGCTTCACACGCAGCCACCAAGATATATAAGTTTGTCTCCGAATGGAAAACAAAATTAATTAATTAATTAATTAATTAAATGCAGTTCGGGAATAATAATTTTAATGTCGTTTTTTATCTATTTAAACGAGATATTATATGAAAAATATGTGAAATATGTTCAAATTAAAAAGCCCTATATGTATATGAGTATCTATGCACTTTAACACCTGACTGGTCTCTTGTTTATCCCGTTATTTGTAATTTCATTTTATATTTTGTCTTACATTACGTTTATTGTTAAGTTTATTATTTTTCTTTAGTTTTTTTTTTCTGACCAATGATGTTGTTGTTTCTGTTTCCGCTTGCTCAGCTGTTTCTATTGTGATCTGCACTTATCTTGAATGTGACTTTTTGATTTTATTATGAAGATTGTCAATAAAAATAAATAGATAAATAAATGTTTTACATGCAGCCAATATCAATATCAGTATCAATACATTTCATTGGTAAACGCAGCGCTGTCACGTCGGGGAGAGATGATGTCATGATGTAATAGAATTTATTTTATTTATCACCGAATTCTTTGCCAAAAAGGATTTAATTATTTCCTGTTAATGACTTAAACAAGTTTAGACAGTTTCAGTGTTCATGAACTACAGGCGTGTTCACTGCAGCAGCAGAAAACATACATGAATAACTTTTACAACCACCAAGTTTGAGAGAGGTAAAACATTTTAAGACAATTCTGATCAGGTGAACTGTCCTTTATATTCCAGATGTTACTTCCTGTTATAGACAAAGCTGGACACACTGAGGACAACAGAGGAACGAGACAGAGGAGCTGCAGCATCTGATGACAGGAAGCAAGTTAAAGTTAATAGTAATAATCTTCCCTCCGTGTTGTTTTGGTTTCCCTGAGCACCACATGTGGAGAGGGAAATGAGGGGATTACTGAGAGAGCATGATCCGACTTCTGCAAACAGACTCTCTGTCCAACAATCATTGCCTTAAGAGGCTGATTTCTACAATGTGTGTGTGTGTGAGTGATTAAAGTCCAGAGAATAACCTGAGCAGCTCCTACAGGTGTTTAACCAATAATGATCCATTAATGGACTGGTGGTTCGGGCATTAAAGATCCCGCAGAGTTTCCAGGACGCCTCCGACTGCCCGACCTGCGTCCTCCGCTCCTCTGCTGGGACTCTGTGAGACTTGGCTGCGTTTCCTGCCCTGAAGACGTGGAGACCAGTGGAACGACTGGTTTCTTCAGCTCACCAGCTCAAACAACAGAAAGACTCAGTCATGAACTCGTTCTTTCTTGTTGTGTTTGCTCGTGTTGTATTTGACCCCAGCTCTAATTCTTTCCTGTTTATCTGTTTCATTTCTCATCAAGTCCTTTTTAATATCTTTCTGTCTCACAGGATGTCCATCAGAGACTCTGTCCCACTTTGCTGATACAAGGCTCAGATAACTAAACCATTCTTCATGCAGTAATCTACTCCTTTATTATCAAAAATGTATTGATTAATAAGTTAATTAATGAATTATATGAGTAGAATTTGAAACTGTCAACAAATGATGAGCCACTTTTCACATGCAGTGTCAAACAAAACCTTCGAACATCTAAATTATTGTCTTGAAAGTTTAATAATGTTTGTGTCTGTCGTTGGACTCACCTGCAGAGAGGCGCTGAGGCGTCCCACACCGAGGCTGGGACCGTAGGGACGAGGCGAACCCCGAGGACGGAGGAACCGTCCTGCGTCCGTCGGTCAGGAGCCGGTGGAGACCAAACACGGAGCTCAAAGAGAGGGAACAGTGGACTGAGATTCATCAGGTGACACCAACACATGACACGTCATGTCGATCTGTAGCTGCTGGCAGGAGGCAACATGTTTACTACAACAACTTCCTAAAGGTTCCCAGCTTGTTGCCCCCGAACTGAAGGGAAAATCAGTTGCTGCAAACAATTTTCTTCACATCTAAACTGCGTGTTTTGCTCTTCTTACACAGTATTGATCTTCTTTGATTCATTGTTTCTCAGTGAATCAGTGGATCTGCAGTATCTGTGTTTCATTACAAGCTGCTGAGATTCAGTTGTGGACGGCAGCTCCTCCGTCCTGCCCTCAGGCCTCCAGCAGTTAAAGCAGCTTCCAGACGTCTGTGTAAACACACATCTTGTTTTTTTTTCTTATTGTTTTCATCAGTGTGTGTTGTTGGTGTTGTTACTGTCCAACATGTTCCCTCCACTGTGTCTGTGTGAGACCTGATCAAACTTCACGGACTGCAGGAGCTTTAATTTTACACCACGTGTCCGTCCAACTGTAATATGCAACATTTCTGTTTAACAATGCTCCTTTCAGCGCGAGGACGTTTCTGGATCTGAGCTCAAACTCTCTCTGGCAGCTTCTTTATTCCTAGAAATATAATATTTTGACATTGGCTGAAGTGGAGCTGAGCTGCTGAATGAGTTTCCCCCTCACAGTGATAACTGATGTCTTTCTGACCGAACGCACAGTCAGCTCCACAGAATAAAGAGGTTATTCACGGGGTTCAGGGTCGGCCGATCCTGATCACATCTCTGAGGGACTGGAGATAGAAGAGGTCAACAGACCGGGGTCTGGGTCATGTGTTTAGATTGGCACCGGTGGCCTCTGCTCGTTGTGGGTGTCGATGAGAACCGGCAGAGAAAATCTGGATCTGGACAGAGACGTGGGCGACTTCAGTGCCCAAACTCTCACAAATGTTCTGCCTGATCTCGTCCCAACAAAATAAAGAAGAAACCAAACTGTGGGCAGCTGTAAAACCACATGTTGGACTCATCACCCAGGGTGCAATTGCAACATGAGCAAGAAACCGATCCATAATTTTACTTGGTTCCAATCGAGCTTTAAACTGCATCAGCTTCCTTCCAGTTTCTTTCATCTCCAGCTTCTCTCTCAATAACAACATCCCACTGCTCTCAGCAGAGGAGCTGAGCTGATGTCGACGCCGTAAACAGACCCACAGTTCAGACGCAGATTATCTCAACTCATATGTTCTGCAGGTAAAAGCAGAAGTGAACACACCTGAGAGAGCTCGGAAAAATTGTGCTGCACAAAGTGGAAACAGGTGATACGTCTGTAAACGATGATGTTTTCAAGTTTGGGTTTTTCATTTTACTTCCACTTTCATCAGAAGGTTGTTTTAGAGCGTCGGCCACTCGGGGACATTCAGTTATTATCACATCAGGTTTTCAAATAGCTGCGAATCTCCACGTCCATCAGTCACCGACATGATCCACGTGTCTGTGTCGGCTGATGAACCTCGGCCCAGTGTTCCCGCTCTTTCTTTAAGCTCGGTGTTTAGCTGCTAAACGCTCCACTGCCTTCAACGGCTGGTCAGACAGTGTTCCTCTGAAACCCTCCTGAGAGCCGAGGTAAACCTGCTCTGATTGGTTCATCACTTCACGCGACCTCTTCTACATTATTCACACACACATTAAATGTCCATTATTATTTCTTTGTGCAGCTCTGAAACTGTCTGATGGTCAGACTGTTCCTGCTTCCTGAGCTGATGGGTTAGTGTTAAATAAATTCCTTCGCACAGTTTAGTAAAGTGTGGTTTTGAGTTTGTGCTCTGTAAAAGCTCGACTCAACATGACGGATCAAACCCTGAACTCTACTCTGGATTTAATGGTGGTACTTTGATCTCGGACGTGTGGATGTACTTTGGGTTTTGACTTATGAACTGTTTGATTAGTGTTGCTCTCTGGCTGAGTAAAGGCAGACGTGTTGCCTGAATCAGTCGTTTGTGTAGAGAAGTTGTGAAATCGAGTCTCAGAAATGAACTTTTCCTGTTTCTTTCTCTGTCTTTCTTCTGTTTTTATGGAATTGCCCAATATTCATAATGAAACAAACGGAAAGTTGCTCCAGTGTTTCATGATGAGAAAGTGAGTGTGACTCAGTCTTCAGAGCTCGTTGGGACGGATCAGATAAACAGAAACACGTTTCCCAGCGGCCCCCGGCGTCACCAGAGGGCCCGAGCACACAGCTCGGTCCCATTAGCTGCAATAGACTCCTGACGATCCACACGGGGGCCTTCAGCTTCTCGTCTCCCCCGTCATTAACGCTAAATCTTCACTTTCATCTCTCCCTCCTCTGCAGCTCAGGGATCCTTCCTTCCGCCCGTCCTCAGCGTCGCCTGCGCCTTAATAGCCCCATGAGCAGACACAAGTGCACGAGCGTGTGCACGAGCGAGTCGGGCTCTTCAGGCGGGATCCTGCAGTAATGACTTCCAGCTCAGTCTTCAGGTAACAAGCACTTCCTGCCTGAGGACAAGTCCTGACCGACTTACCGCAGCTCCCTGTGGTCTCTCAGTCCGGCAGTTTGTAACGTCGCTGGTCTCATGTGTTTGTTAAAGGGCTGGAGACCCCACAGCTACACCGAACATCTCTACCGTGGCCCCGAGCCGGGGCCCGACTTTGAAAACTGGTAAAAACTAGTTGGTTTTTTTTTACCAGTTTTCTGTCTCACTGTTGGTTTCAAGTCTCTTGGTAGCGGGTTGTGATCTCGCTGAGGTGGTTCAGAGTCCGTGTCTCCACCCTGCAGTGAGCAGAGACAGATGAGACTCCCATCGCAGCGCCATGCGGTGGGGTTAGTGAGTTAAGGTCAACACAATTAACCTGGGATGCTGCTGTGAAGTTTTGCCACATTAGCAAAAAAGGATAGCGTTCCCTCTCAGTTGTTACCCCCCTCTCACAGGGAGGGCAGTTAAAACGCAGTCCATAAATGCAGCTTCATTAGGACTGGCCTAGTTTTGGAGGCAGGGGCCTGAATCGGGGTCTTCAAGGGTCTCAGAACATGGTGGGGATTACGGGTACTTACTGTTAAAGGGACGTCGATGAGCTGCCAGGATCTCCAGTGTGGAGCTTAGCATGAGATGAATCTGCGTCCAGCTAAAGCAACAACAGCATTAAGTCGTCTCATGGAGACACTTCCTGTGTCTGTCAGCTTTAAAATCAGCTTTATTGTGGAAACCAGGATCTTTTTAGTTTCCAGCGATTGAGCCACAAAACTGAGAGTTGAGCTTTTATTGTGAAGGATAAAAAGCACCATTCAGAAATGATTTCGATCTTTCTCAGATGTTTGTCTGGACCACGACAGCAGAGACCAGGTTCACATCCAGAGTCCCGTCTGTGGTTTAGACCCTAAAGCTCTCAGTGAATCCAGACCAGGATCTGTCTGTGACCTGAACCAGGAGCCGCGAGTACGGAAGCTGAGAAGGGCCATCGTTATCTCCTTAACAGGATTAATATAATATTATATATATTAATATCTGAGGTAACAAGATAAAGAAACATCTACGAGTTTGGCCTCGTGAGTCTAAACAGAACCACAGAACAGCTTAGTGACTCTGGAGTCGCTACAGGTGGAGAATGTTCTGCAGGATCACATATTTCGGCAGGAAATGCGCTGTTGCTTGATTGAAAAGTCAGAGGATGAAGACATCAGAATTCATCCTGCAGGGAACATGAGCGTCTGTAGAAAAGTTCATGACAATCCATCAAATAGTTGAGATTTTTCAGACCAAAGCGAGTGACTGACTGCAGCTCCACGGCCGAGCTGAAGAGCTGGTTCATGTAGGAGAAATAAACACCATGGTGGTGGGAGATGATTGAATGCATCACATCTGGAGATATGTATATGTATATGTATATATATACAGTATATGTATGTGCAGTAACAGCTCAGGGGGGGCAGAGCAGGACGGAGGCTGGATGTTGGGCCATGACAGGATGACAATAGTTGGAGGAGGAGAGACCCCTCTGAGCTTCACTTAAATTGGAACCAGGAGACATGTGAAAGAGCCCTCTGTGCTTTTGTTATGAGGCGCGCACACACACACACACACACACACACACACACACACACACACACACACACACACAGCTCTCCTATGGATGAAACTTGTGTGTGAGTTGTGTAATCAGGCTGAGCTGGCAGCGAGCAGCGGCTCTTCTGGCTGCAGCTTCACTTCGCTCCATGAGAAACGCACACTGCGTGCTCATGGTTGGAAAACCAGACCACGGGCGCAGGGGGAGGGTGGGGAGGGTCTTTCTGAGGTAACCTCCCAGCGAGGGCGGAGCCCCCTGTTACCCGCTCTTCGACGACGCCCTCCTAAGTTAGGGCGTCCTCCCTTTCTGGTGCGACCTAATTCCACAATCACTCACCCCCCGGCCAGTCGCCCCCCCCTCCCTCCCCCACGTTTATTTACTTTATGCTTCACTTTTACCCAACCGGGAGCCTTCTGAGAAAAACCAACTGGTGAACAGAACCAGAACAAACTAGTCAAACCACAGAGTCGTTAACTGACCGGCAGCAAAATAAAACAACAACACACCAATAATATAAAACTAATCAACATGTGATTATCAACTTATCAACAAGTAAACCCCTGATTCAAGGTAATGAGGCACATTTGGTTTCCAAGACAACGAATGAAAGAAACAGATGAAGCCAGTGACGTGTTCTGAGCTTCAGGGCCACCGTACATTCCCACACTTTGTTTTTTTATTTGCAAATTGAAAATGTGCAAAAACAAAAAAGGTTTCCAGGTGTGAACGGACACAACAATACAACAGCAGGGGGCGCCATCATGACACCAGAAGACCAAATAAAACATTCATTTCTCCTTTTTGGTTTCATTTAATTTCAGTCGGTGTTTAAGAAAAGTTCAGATCAGCTGCTCCGTCAGTTCGTGGATTTTCACACAGACATTCACGGTCGCCAGAGGATGAAGTCGACAGACTTCATCCTCTGGCCATGAGGTTCACATTTCTGCTTTTGAGTGAAACGTCTCAACAACTATTGGATGGGTTTGTTTCAGAGATTCATGTTCCCCTCAGGATGCATCATCACTCCGGTTCTGTGGCCGCAGGAGAAGTCCACGTCCCGGGTCACACCGGGTCTGGCAGTCTCAGGGTTTTCTCATGGACTGAGGTACAAGTTCTGTCGCCACGGACTGAACGCTGGTCAAAGAACTGAGGATTTCCCAGAAACCTTTTGCATCATCAATGATGTAAGACCTTGTTTCTTGCTCTCCAGGGACACACACACACACACACACACACACACACACACAGGGATCTCTGCTCCTGGTCCAGGAAAACAGAAGAACTTTATCTGGAGTGAGCAGCTGAACCGAGTCCAGAAAACAGTCCGGTCTGGTTGTCTGTTGTTTACGAGGTTTCCTCTGAGACTCTGTGTGTGTCACAGCCTCACGCTCATTAGCTGCTGACGCATTAAGTTTCAGCCTCAGTGTTTCTGATCAAGTCCGGGTGTCGACAACCTCATCGATCAGTCGCACAGCGCTCCGTCCTGCCGGAGGTTCGACTGTCCTCCCCCTGCTGTGAAAAATACCATCAGACGGTGTCATCACTTTATTCCCTGGTGTCTGTGAGGAGGAGATCAGCTGTGACACGTCCTTTAGAGAGCAGACGATGCTGTTTCCACTGTGATCAGGTCCTAATGCAGGACACATTATGGAAACCATCACTTTGCACAGTTAAAGGATGTCTGTGCTCGAGTGTGTCTGCTCCTCAGCATCAGTGACATCAGGACGAGCTTCACTGCTGCAGCTCAGTTCTGCCCCCGAGTGGCCGAGTCCTCACATTACACCTCCACACACAACACCTCACATAAAGGGAATACACACCAGCCACAAAGCTTCATTCAGAGCCGGCAAGTTTAATACATTATTATTATAAAATACTTTACATGAGCAACTGAATTAGTTTTTACTTTTTAAATGAATTAATATTAAGTTCTACATAAAGAAACTAAGTGCTAAAGTAGTTGATTTTGTGTCATCTTTTCTAATGGGAAGCTGTCTCGTTTATATTGCAGTCTGATAAAATACTGAGAAATTTACAATTTTCTGCTGTTAGATGGAAATTTTAAAAAACTCAATTGTTTTGTCAGCAGCTGTTTTTTTTTTAAAAAGACAAATAACTTTTCAAAAGTTAAAATATACAAATTATTCATTTTTTTTCATCTGCTCCAGACAGAGTGGAAGATGCATTTGAAAGCTCTGGAAAAAGCTGGTGAGTGGACCTTGAGTTAAGCTGTGTCTGATGTTTCTACGTGACGATCACGTTGATAATGAAATAAAATGAGGCTGTAAAAACACAGAAGCACAAGTTTATTATAAAGAAGCTTTAGGATCATAAACGAAGACAAACAGAAAGTGTCTGAACCACGTCACTGGATGGTTCTTAGTCCGTGTGCTGGAGTCCAGGAGCTGAAGCTGGTCTGAGCTGTGTGTGTGTGTGTGTGTGTGTGTGTGTGTGTGTGTGTGTGTGTGGAGCTGTCGACCTTCTCAGCCAATCAGAACGTCACCACCTTCGTCTGTTTGGGTTTGGCTTTCTTCACTGGAACATGGACTTCCTCGTGGTCCGCGCTCATGTTGTTGGACAACCAGCCGACCGTCACAGAGTTCGCTGCATCGGAGACACGGGGGGGGCGGGGGGGGGGGGTGTTAAAGCTGATAATTGTTCACCTGTTGTGTGTTAAAAAACGAAAAAAGCTGAATCCCATCTGAAGCTGAACTGGTTCAAAAACATTTGCTCTGTTGATTCTTTTGTAAAGAGACGAGATCAGGCCTTTTCACAGTTTTACATCACAGCAGGAAACAACAGGTGTTTCTGAGTCTGCGACATCGCCGCCTCCTTCTGGACCGGAGGACTCGAGGACCGAGAAAACAAAGATGGGCTGTGACCGAGTTTGTGATCTGACCGACACAGATGCACAGATGTGACTTAAATCAAAGTTTCTAAAGTCATTTCAAATGACGAGTGGAAATGGAAACTGATTTGTTCAAATTAGACACTGTGACCTGTGAGCGTGCACATTATTACTACACACACACACACACACACACACACACTAGAGACTCACTTGCAGCCTGGTGCTCCGGACAGTCCTTCTGAAAATGTTCCACTGACCCACAGACACGACAGCTTCCTCCTGCGAACACACACACACACACACACACACACACACACATCATTTAAAGGAGTGTAACATGAATTATTGTACAAGCAGTGAGGTGAACATCTGTGTTTGTACCTTGTGCGTAAAGTCCTTTAGGATTATCTGGGCAGGAGCGGGACAGGTGTCCGGTCTGACCACAGATGAAGCACTTAGCGTACGGGTAGTCACCTGAGAGACACAACGTGTTCACATTATAAAAGCAGGATCACATGTTAATCTATGACGGACGTCTGTGGCCTTCATCCTCCTCCTCCTCACCCAGAGCAGGATCCACTTTAGCTCTACACTTGTGGATTTCGTGTTCGGTGGAGCCGCAGCGGTAGCAGATGCCTCGGCCCATCTCCTCGTCTCGGTCGGCCTCGGGACAGTCTGCCAGACCGTGGCCGGGCTTCCTGCAGTTAAAACACAGCTGAGGAGGGAAGGACAGAAACAGAGTGAGAGCAGTCTGACAGAAAACCCACACCTGTGGTCCCGAGCACTTACTGCTGCGCTAATCAATATGTTTTTATTTATAACGAATTCTATGTGAAAGTGGTTCCTCATAATAATGACGCCACAAAGAATCGGCTCTACGGAGGGTTTTGGCGTCTCTCAGCTCGTTGTTTATCTGTTTGCTTCACTCTCTCCGCTCTCATCCAGCTGTTTTCAGAGAAACATCTGTAAACAGCCTCTGTCCTCTACCTGCTCAGCAGCAAACAGGAGACAGACACGGTCAGAGAGAAGTTTGATATGTGAACTTTAAAAAGGTGATCAGCTGATCTTCACTGTTTCTAAAGGGCCCAATAAATAAATAAATGTATGTTTAAGTGTCCTCTCATGTGTCAGCAGGTAGACGACAGGTGTGTGAAGAAATGCCAACATGCAGTGAAAGAGTTTCCACCTGAATGTTGTTTAAATGGTGTGACAGGATATTCAAATAACAACTCTACATGATAAGCAGCTGTTACACTCTAACCTTCATCTTTATTATATTATTTTCTATAGATATTTCACATAAAGACCCTGATTCCATCAAACTGATTCACATCCTGAAATAAAGAAATTTAAAACATCATCATCATCAAACTTCAAATGTCTTGTTTTGTCAGATTCTCATGTGTAAAACAGAAGAAACAGCCTGACACCGATCGGTCGAAGCAGAGAATGATTGCCTGATATTGTTACTTGATAAAAGGAGTTAATTGATTATCAAAATAGTTGCACATTAATTATCTGTTGATCCACTCATTGATTAAATCACTCAATATCATTGATGACCAAACACTGAGCAGGTTTAGCAAATAATCCATATGTGATGTCTGGAACATCTGTTTTGAAATCACTCACCATGTTGTTCTTCTTGTTGTTCTGTCTCTTGACCCTTCTGTCCTCTCTCCTCCTGTCTTTCTTCAGGGCGACTTCCACCTCCTCCCTGAGCTCCCGCTCCTCCTCCCTCCCTCCCCCTCTGGGCAGCGGCTGTCCGGTCTGCTGCAGATACTCCAGGAACCCGTTCACGTCCTCGCTCGCATAGTCCTTCTTCTTACGGTTGGGTTTTTTCACAGCTGATCCACCGGGCTGAGTCCCTCTCAGGTGGTCCCTCTGAGGTCCTTGTTGACCTCGTCCTCCTCTTCCTCCTCCTCCTCCTCTTCCTCCTCCTCTGAGTTGACTCCATGGAGTGGCCTCTGCTGGTTTGTGTTTATGGACATTATTGGCTCTCGCCCACCTCGTCATGACTGCACACTGAAGAAGAAACAGGTGGAACAGCTGACTGTTAGTGCATCTTCTATATATACACAACACAACACAGACACACGTCATATCATCACAATATATTAAGTACTTTAGCCAGAATTGGACAAACTTCTAAAAACAACTGTATTAAACTTATCTATCTTTTACAAAACGAGCTCACGTCATTACTATAGCACAGTAGTGAAGCTCCCACCACATCGTTAGGAAACATTATAATAACTAACAATAACTTTACTGACGTTTTTCTGCTTTACAAATGAAATAAAAATATTAGCATGTAAGCTAGCAGCTAGCTAAACCTCGTAACGTCACCTTAGTTCGTAACGAACAACTAGCACGCTAAGCTAACAGAAAAAGGCAGCTGGTATTTATAAATCATTTTTCTTCCTACAGCACAATAAATAGTTTAAAATGAACAGGAACGTGAGTTGGGAGAACTTTACCCTGAGACGTTTTCAGCCCATGTGTTTGTATTGTTACCGGAAGTGTTCACTCTTCTTCCCTGTGTTTATTCGCGGGACGAAAACCACAGCGCCACCTACTGCAGCGTCTGCATGGTGACAAGCTGAACTGATCTTCCAATTAGACTTTCTTCAAATGTTACCGTTAAATTTTATTAATGAATCTGAAAAACTGAAAAAAATAAAACATAAATCAGCAGCAAATTGTGGTATGTGCAAAAGTTTGAGCCTGTGAATCATTCGATCTATCTATCTATCTATCTATCTATCTATCTATCTATCTATCTATCTATCTAATACAATTACTTTGCAGAAAATATGAAATATATACAATATGACACATTCACATCTGATATATAAATATTAAATTCAGGTAGGCTACATACACACCAATACCAATGTACCCATTAACTTAGATTTGATTTAAGTGCAGTTCTTGAGTAAATCTATTTAGTTACTGTTGGATATTTTAAGTACATTATATATTAAGTACGTATATATTTATAAATAAAAGTACCTCCAAAATGTACTTCTATTTATAAAGTATGATGCATAATTATCTATAATTATGCATCATTTTATAAACTCATCATGTGTCTTGTATGAGGAAGTTTAGTCTGTAAAGTAGTTTCCAGATCAGTGTAGTGGAGTGGAATATTCAGGTGAAGTACATGTACCTGAGAACTGACCTGAAGTACAGAGCTTTGTGTAATAAATGTATTTAATTACTTGCAACTTCAGCTCCTCAGGGATAAATGAGGCAGCAGCTCACAGGTGATTTGACTTAACGTGACTAACGAAGGAGCAGAGCTGAGAGGATCAGCCATGCTGCATCTGCTTCTCGCTGCACTTTTATCTGTTGAAAATCTTAAAGATGGTAAGAAATGATCATGTAGGACTGTTTGATTTATTTTCTCTCTGGAAAAGCAAACCATGTTTTTTCTCTCATCTGTTGCTTTCCAGTTAACTCCAGTCCTGTACAAGACGCCAACACAGGTACAGTCCGTTGTCATCTGAGTGTGGATCCATCACAGTGTTGACATTTAGGAGCTTTCGTGTTTCTATAATGTAAGACTGTGTGTTGTTGCAGCTCTGCAGGAGGACTGGCTCATCGCAGCCTGGCATTACATGGAGTCTAACCCCGAGACTTTAGAGGGTGAGGCCAGAAATCTAGTCTGAAGACATGTATGAGTGAATGAATGTTTTTGTGTCATCCACACAAAACCATCATCACTGCACTGGAGAAATCAAAGGAAACACGAGTTGAATCCGTCATGTTATCAAACTCAAAACTCATCAGAACAAAAACCAAGTCCAGTTTTTGAGGGTTTTATTGAGCCATTTCATGGAAAACTGACTGTATTAAATCCACTTCAGATCACACACATATTCTTGAACTGACCAACAGTCGCAGAGAGAAAACCTGAGCTCAGTGAATTTAATCTGGAGCTGAGAAGAAACAAGGAAAAAATACATAAATACTGTTTTTCTGTTTGTAACAGAACTGATGAGCAATGACGCCATGATTGAGGGCGACATGATTCTGTCAGTGAGTGAAACTCTCGTTATTCATTAAACTAAGAACATGATTTTAAATTCTGTGAATGAAAATGATTTCGAAGTTTGTTTTTTATTCTCAGTTGTTCTTTAATGCTGGAAGGCTTTTATTGTGGAGGAGCAGCAGGCAGGTTATATGCATTAGTCCATCTGTGGTCCTGAACCCGCTCCTCCTCTGTTGTCTGGAGACTTACTAAAACATGATAAATCTTATTTACCTGCAGACTGACAGGAACGCAGTGGAAACAACATGGCCGACACAGGAGATCCCGTACGCCATCAGTCCAGAGTTGGGTGAGGAGTCCGAGAGTTTGAAGATAAAACCAGATCACTGATCCCAGTGTCTGATCACAGGAGTCTTTGTTTTGCTTCTATTTTCTGTTTTCCAGCTGGTCGGACGAGCGACATCCTCGCTGCTATGGCGATGGTGTCTGAGCACACCTGTGTGTCCTTCCACAAGCGAATCACCGAGACAAACTACCTGCTCTTCAAAGCCAGCAGAGGGTGTGTAGGAATCAGACAGTGTCTCTGAAGACTGTCTTTCTAAAACGTCTCTGAAGTTAGTGATGTAATGAGGCTGACATGTGAAAAACGACCCTATAGGTTGTCTGTCATCTATAGTTGTGTTTTGTTGTTGGGTGACCTCTAGTGGCTGTAGTCATTATTACAGCACCAAAGCAGGAAGTCACACAGGAGACCAGTGTTTTCTATTTTTACTTCATTGTGTCCCAACTTCTGCAGCCAAACTTCCAGCTTTAGATCGACCTATTAGGTAAAATAGTAAAATGTCCACCACAGTTTCCTAAAACCCCGGGTGATGTCTCCAGGTGTCTTGGTCTGTCCGACCTGTAGTCCCAAAATATTCAGTTCATCACACAAGACAAAGACGAATCCACTGAAACACCAGAACAAGAATATTTGGCTTTAAAAATGAAATCAAAGTAGCTGCTGATGATGTTTCTTCTTCGTTGTCATCTTCCAGTTGTGCTTCATATGTCGGCTTCGTCGGCGGTGAGCAGCCCGTTTTCGTCGGGCCCCCGTGCATGGTGGGTAACATTGCCCACGAGGTTCTTCACGCTCTGGGCTTCCACCACGAGCACACGAGGACAGACCGCGAGCAGTACATCACCGTCCTTCCTCATAACATCATGGCAGGTAATGCTCCAGTGTTTCATGGACGAATGTTTGTCCCGTTTGTGTCTGAGTGAAAACAGATGTGTTTCAGGGATGGAGAAAAACTTCAAAAAGCAAGAAGGCAAAACCTTTGACCTTCCTTATGACATCAGTTCTATCATGCACTATGGAAGGTAAAGTGTGCAAAATAAAAAGCACATGAAGACTTTTTCAATTTTTTCCTCTGTCGCAGTCATTTATTTTTTTTTTTCATTTCTGTGTCAGCGGTTTCTTTTCCTCTAACGGTCTGCCCACCATCGTACCGAACACCGACGTGAAGCAGATGGGTCAGAGGGTCAAAATGACAAACAGGGACGTTGAGAGAGTTCGTCACCTCTACAACTGTGGTACGTTCACAGTTGTAGTTACTGCTGGAGCTTAATAATGTATTGGGTTAATATTGGAGACAAACACTGAAGCAGTGTATCATAGTACATACTGATTGTTTTACAGTATGTAATATGTACGTCTTTTTATACCTGCAAAAGCTAAGAAGATTTGTACATAACTGTTTTACATGAACAGGAAATTATATAGTACAAATGCTAATGCATATAATCCAAATATGATGCTGTTAATTAAATTTCCAAAGATGTAAAAGTCATGTTTTGTTCTCTGAGCTGTTCTACCACCATTTACTGTTTGATCCAGCTTCATTTCCTTTGTGCTGTTGGATGATATTTGATGCACTGTGCACTCGAACATCTGCCTCCTGACTGGCAGACTCTAAATCTGGGGGTGTGTAGCCGGCATCTGCTGCAGGCTCCAGGATACATCAGCAGCTAGTAGCATTAGCCGCTAGCAGCTCTGTGAGTCTGGACTTAGCATTCAGCTCAAAGCACCGCTGTGCCTAATATCAGCTCACTGACCGTGTAAACATGCTGATGTTTTAGCAGGTTGTTTACCATGTTCACCATCACAGTTTAGTGTGTTAGCAAATTAGCGCTGAGGCTGATGGGAATATCATTAGTTCTGCAGGTTATTTGATCATTGAACTGACTGACGGTGACGTCACAGATACTTCACTCTCCTTCTTTTCCCACCTCTCTTCACCAGACGCCTCTAAGAAGCCAACGGAGAAGGAAAGCAGTGATGCTGAGAAGGCGGAGGATTCAAACATTGACATGGTCATCCAGAGTATGAAGGCGTCCCTCGGCTCCGCCCACACAGGAAACCAGAACCAGAACCAGAACCAGAATGATGCTCCTGCCAACACAACAGAGAAGAGTCACTCATCTATATCTGCAGCTCCACCTACTTCACTGCAGCACCTGAACGCTGCCACCGGAGGGCAGAGTAACACCTGAGGACCGCAGGACTAGACTGAGCATCTGTTAATAAAACCAAAATATACAGACCAGGCGTTTCCTTCACTTCATGTTTCATGACATCAGAGTTATAACAAGCTGAAACGCTACAGTGGTTAATTAAAGAAACACATTTCACGTTTCCCACACAAATGAAAACAGGAAGCTGCAACAGAAGAAAACCAGGTTTAGAAAGAACTTGAAAAGCTGAAATAATTTTACTCCACATCAAGATTTTTCACTTTGACTCAATTACAGGAAAAAAAACTTTTGTAATGTTTGACTATGTGGGAAAAAATGTTAGAATCATTAATGTTGAAAAATGTGCAGTTATATTATTATATCTGCATGTTTGGTTATATGACCATACAAGTGTTTTTATTTAATTATAGCCTGAGTCATAATCACATATAACAACAGATCAATGAGCTTTAAGCTTTCAGTCGTTTGACCAGAAGTCTCTGTAATACAGGAGAGGAACATGAAAACACACGACACGCTGCAACAAATACAACAAAACACATAGTGAAGGACTGGATCAGAATCTTGTGTGTGTGTGTGTGTGTGTGTGTGTGTGTTTAAAATGGACAGCAGTAGAAAAATAACAGGAGGGGGAAAGAAAACAAACACAAACCACAAACCACCAAAAATCTGTGGCCTCTCCGGTTGGGCCCTGGGGGCCAAAGAGGCGCCAGATCCTGGACAGCAGCGCCAGGCCAGAGCTTTATTTATTTATGTATTTACTTTCTTTTGCTCTTATTCTTTATTTTTCCCTTGATTTTTCAGAGGTCAGAGCAGAATCACAAAGCACCAGGCGCAGTCATGAGTCGGGTGTTTCAGGCTGGGTTCACCTCCATCATTAAAGCAGTAAATACCAACGTGTAGAAAGATGAAGTCTCAGCATCAGGTTTACTGATGAGGAAGATCCAGATGTTTATAAACAACACCCTCATCCTCTGTTACTGTGGCGTCCGACTGCTGAACGTCGTCTCAAGGTGACGTCCTCATTCTGTCATCCTGAACGCTCGGTAATGGGCAGGTCTGTTCTCTTAGCTTCACGCCTTGACTGTTGTTTAATACTACATGTCAAGTGTAAATGTCAGAGCAATTTTCCGCCAGACTACCTGCATGACAATAAACTGAGCCGCAGATAAATATTTGGCAGTTAGCGGAGATAAAAGGAAAGCAGCATCTTGAAGCGTTTTCCTGTCAGAGGTTTTACAGGGTCAGGAAACAACACGTTTGGGAACTCTTTTTTAGAAGAAGAAGAATTTAAAGTTTAAAACTGACTCAGTGCACAGGAAGCACTTTTTCAGTATCTGAAGTTAACACTACAGTAACACTAAACCCCCCCTTTGGAAATGAGTTTCTACCTGCTCTTAGGAGATAAGCTGACCCTGCTGTAGTGTGTTAATGCATCCGACCAAAGACAAGAGGGAGGCAAGAGCTCAAGTATCACCTTTTATTCAACGTCCTGTTCCTCGGCTTTAAAATTCAGTTATCTGCTCCACATGTCAAATATCAGCTCAGGTGTTATTAAGTCACCACATCAGTTTATACTGAGCTGCATTAATCCTGCAGAAGGCCCCGACTCTCTCTGAATACTTTGGTTAGTTCATCGGTGAAATATCCTTTTATCTTTGTTTAAAAGCAGAAGATATAAAAACCATCTCAGTGTAGTTTTACATCTCCTCTCTCAGGCTTCTCTCTGCAGCTCTAGTAACAACAGGTCGGTGAGCCAATCAGAAGAGAGGAGGCTCTGAGCCTCTCTTCTGATTGGCTGACTGTTTTCTGAGTGATCCAATAAAAATAAAGCAGATTTCAGGTAAAAACACTCAGAGAAACCAAATCCTGCAAGGTTTGGATGGTGGGTCCAGGTGGGCGGGGCTTGGTGACTGCTTAGTTGTGACATCACAAAGTTCCAGAAGTCCTGACGGCTGGTTTTAAGGCTCAGTTTCTGAATACAGGCTGTGTGCATTTCTCTGTGGACTGATATAAAACCTAGTGCAGCCAACACAAGGGAGTTCTTGATAACGAAAAGTCACTTACGAAAAAGTCCGACACCGAGACAAACACTGGGAACTGAACAGGAAAACAAGCAAAAACAGAGAAGCCAAAAAACACTCAGAACACAGAAGGGAAAGACACGGGGAACTTGGAACAGGAGAACCACAGAACCACAGAACACAGGACGGAGGGACAAAGACAAAGGTGAGCGCAGCAGGGAGGTGAGGGTGACGGAACACAGGTGAAACACTTCAGGGCGGAGCAGACAATCAACGAGGCGGGGAAACAGGACGAAGACAGGAAGTAAAACATCCACGAGACACACAAAATAAAACAGGAAATGAAACATAAGAGTCCAAGAGCTGAAACATAAATTGTCCGTCACAAACCATGAGACCTTTATGATCAACCCACACATGGACAGACACCTTTAGACCTGACGGAGCGTGAACCGAGAAGACCTGAAGCTGTAACTGCTGCTCTGAATACTCTCATCCATTTTAAATTAAACCTACAAAACGATAAAGTGTGAGAGGTTAGTAAATGATATTTCGCTCTTTAAAGTGAAGATATTTATTGTACAATAAGCTCTATAATTTTCTCCCTCTCTGCTGTTCTGTGGTCGTTTTTTACACGTTTGATTTTTCAGATCGTCTGAAAATGAGACGTATTAACTTCATCATTTTCCCCTGGAAGCCGTAAATGTGATGTAAAGGTTTTTCCTCTGAGCTCTGCGGCAGGAACACGACTGTCTGAGTAAAGTCTTTAAAGTGCTGCGGCTCTTTTCAAACTATTCTACTTGTTTTTTACATGAAGATCGTGGAGACGCCTCGAGCGGCTGAGCTCTCCTCCCATAAATTCACAGCGGGTTTTTCTTTTATTTTTGCCTGACTTTAATTATTAATCAATAAAACATAATCATGAAAGTCCCAGTTGATTTGTTTCCTTTCTCTTGTGATTAACTTTTCTCTCAATAAAAGAAAAGAAGAGGGAATAAAGACACAGTCACATCTGTCTCACAGCTTCCCTCTCTGCTGTGCTTCACTGGACAATAATCATCAATAATCAGTGTCGGAGCTAATATTAGGCCATGAGAACCAGCTGATCAGCTATAATCAATACCTGATCTTATCTCTGATCCGCACTGGAGGAAGACACCTTCACCCACACCCACGTCTTCTTCTTCTTTTACTCCGTTTCCATGTTTGTGCAGCACGTCTGACCAAACGACTGTCTTTAATCAGCCTCCGCTCAACGGCTGCTGTGATTAACAGACTATCACTTCCTGTTTATCATTCATCTCCCGTTGTTTGGATTTTAAAAACCTGTGATCACTGGATTTATTTTTTTTTTGTTGTTGTCATTTTTGATAACAGGGAGCTGCCTGTGTTGTAGTGGATATGTGATATAATGGAGATGGAAATGCACACGAGGACCGCAGGGGTCGAGCAGTGGGCGGATACACAGGACACACATGAAGATGAATGTTTTTCTGTGTGTGTGTGTGTGTGTGTGTGTGTTACTATTAGGAAAGTCTCCACATGACCGGGTGATGCATTAGTCTGTGATCACTCCGCCTCTCCACACGCTCTTAAGTGTGAATCTGTAAAACCGTCATCACCTTTCAGACATAAATAAAACATGGTTCCCACTGACTTGACTTTTGGATCGTGACACATGTGTGTGTGTGTGCGCGTGTGTGTGTGTGTGTGTTATGTTGTTTTGTTTAGTGTGTTGGACGTGAAGCCCACACACTGAAGGGATGAATAATGAATGAATAAATGTTTCATATTATCAGTAATTGGTGTCATGACGGCAAAGAGTGGAAACACGAGTGCGGCTAGTTCAACCTGTCATGTTAAATTTAGTGTTGAATATGGAACAGACAGAAACAGTTAGTTGTGGAGTGTGTGTTTGTTTGTTGTATTGTGATGGAAATATTCACTGAACCATGTGACCTTGAGAGTTTTGAGGGTGTTTATATTTAGTTTTTGGCCGTGATGGATTCAATGACGTTCGTGTTCCTCAGAGGACGAACCCTCGTCACTCTGCCGATCCTCTGACTTTTCCATCAGGTTTAATTTGCTCAATTTTAAACTTTTAAACTTTTAAACTCGTGATCCTCAGACTTTCTGTGCATCAGTTACACACCAGAGAGAAACCTGTGAATAAACTGTGTTTGTGTTACAGGTTTGTTCAGTCGACTGTGACACATCTCATTACATATTCAACTTTAAAGCTCCTCCAGTGTAAAGGTCTGTGTCCATGTGTAGTGTGATTATAGATCAGCTCTAGCTTCTATATTAATACTGTGAAAGTATCAAAGCCTCAGTCCACAGAGAAATGCACACAGCCTGTATTCAGAAACTGAGCCTTAAAACCAGCCGTCAGGACTTCTGGAACTTTGTGATGTCACAACAAAGCAGTCACCAAGCCCCGCCCACCTGGACCCACCATCCACACCTTGACGAACAGGGTTTGGAGCTCTGCTCAGCGAGTTCACTTCGTCTTTTTCCTTTAAATGCCGTTTGACAAACTCTTTTATCAAAAGTCAGACAAAGGAGAATAACACCCGTCGCAATTTCCCAGAATCCAAAGCGGTCACATGTCTTCACAATTTCTTCTTTTTTTTTTTTGTCCAACCAACAAAAATATTTGAATCTACAATCAGACAAAGAAAAGCAGCGACTGTTCAGAGAAGCCAGAGACTGTTTGGTGTTTTAATTTGAGAAACAACAATTAATTGATTATTAGAACAGCTGCTGATTGATGAATCAGTTAACAGAGGAATGGTTTCAGATGATCAGAGCATAATGAGCCTTTTTACTTTTGATTCTTTCATCATATATTTTGTATTTGATATGACTCATAGACTATTTTAAAATTGTGGTACTGAACCTTTGATTGAGTCAAAGGTCTGAGTTCTTCTTCACGTGTCTCTACATTTGGACACATTGTGTTTGATCTTCACCCTGACCGTCCTGTGGGAGCGCGCGGATGAGCCGGAGCGAGGACACTTTGGAGGCTGCGCGTAAAGAAGCGCGTCCTCGTTTATCCGGTAACATCCGCATCACTTCTCCACGTCTCCCTCTGAGAGAAGAGTCTGTCTCCACCGACCCGGGATGTAAGGAGCTCCGTGCGCGCGCCTGTTCCAGCTCACACCGGTTCATTTTTTTTTTTTTTTAATCATCTACTTCTTGAGAAAACTTCAGCTTTGATTTGTTCCCCCTCCTTCCTGCTTCATGTAACTGGATCTACTGTGTGAGAGAGCTCAGTCTGTGGATCCGAGCGCACACACCGGACTCTCTGCCACCGTTTGTCGGACACTCCGCGCCTCGTCACCGGACACTTTGGGCGAAATTCTGCGTCTTGGCGACAGAAAAGAAACTTTTAAAGTTGTCGGCTGGAATGAGGCACCGACGCTGAGGAGGTGAAGAGCTTCACGTCTCAGTAAGTATCTTCGGATCTCTCTCTGCAGAGAGCACGAGGCTGAATTTATTCTGCTTTTATTTCACTGTGCGCAAAGTTTCCTTCATGTGTTAAACTCGTGTGTTAATCCATGTGAAATGAACAGACTCCATCCTGAGCATCAGTGTGTTCACTGGACACAAACATGGATGTAAGAATATGAAGGAGGAGCAGACACAGCGTCTTATTCCAGCAGCTTCTGTGTCAGTTAAACAGAAAAGAGCACAGTTACAGTTACAGCTGAAGAATATCATGAGCGCTTAAAGGCAGCAGCCTGTGTTCTCCAACTACATCTCATCAGAAAGAGTGAACAGTTGGAAGAGGTGGAACCAGTAAGACACAGAACATTTGATCTGATGGAGGAAGTGGACACAGGCGTTTAAAACTCCTGGTGTGACAGATCCAAACACACCCACTGAAAGATTCCAGTTTCTGACTAAATAACTTAAGATTTCTACGTCGACTCTTTCAGTCATAGTGAAGGAAATCTTGAAAGAGATTTACTGGTAATAGTTTCTCTGCCTCCGTCTCACCATCACTGGGCTGAGCCTGAAAATACACACGAACAGAAGTCAAGTCATTTTCAATTATCTGACTCTCCTGATCCTCAAAAACTCCCCAAACACTCCCTCCAGTTCTAAACAGCTGCTTTCAATGCTTTTATTTATTCAGGTGTCCAACCAAACTCAATGCAAATGTTCATCATATTTACAGAGCAGCCTATCAGGCAGATAACAAGCAAATGAAGCCTCATTTCCCTCCTGTGTTCGACTGGTTGATGGAGATAAACAACAGGTGGAGCTGATTCTCCAGCCGCTGCCATTAAACCACAGAAGAAGAGCTGATTAACAGAGCTCCTGTCAAAGCTTCAAAACCGTGCAAGTCCACGTCTACATGTGACTTCATATGATGCCAGAAACATTGCAGCCTCAGTTTAATATTTTATTTTAATATTTTAATATTTAAATTACAAACGTGTCGTCATTTAATTGTGAGGCTTGAAACTGCTGCGCGGCGCCGGTCTGTGCCGCTGCGCCTCGCTGCCTCCGACCGCGCCTTCGCTAATTGTTCGGTTATTCGTTTACAGGAAACTTTAACAGAGACCTTCGCTGTGACGGACTGACCTCAGTTCTGTGTGTTTGCATGTTCTGACTGTTTGATCCAGATGAAAGCAGCTGCGGACGCAGACCTACATGCAAACCGGGTGATAATCAGTTTTAAAACATAATAATAATCAGTGAAGCGTGATGGGTTATACATGTCTGCGCTGACGCACCCTGAGCCAGTTTGTTCTGGTTCAACCACAGAGCGAGCGTCTCCTTCTCCAACTCTTAAATGTGTTTAATATGTTCATCTTGTTTTCATGTCCCTCTGGTCGACTCATGACCCTTCAGATTTATCTCGGGGCCTCATGGGGAGCCCCGACCCCCAGATTGGGAACCGCTGCTCCGTATCACATCATCATTTGCAATGATCCTGTTTTCTGAGTAATTCTTCTCAAAGCTATTTGAACGTCTTTTTAAATCTCCTTTGTTCCACGCAGCTAATGACTGTATGAAAATCTAAATTCAAGAAAAGCCCATTTGAAACGTACCAACTCAATTATATTCATTAATGAATGAATTCATCAACATTTGCACTTGCACTGACCTCCTGCAGGAACACAATACGCTGCGTCTGCTGTTTCAGAACAACTAGGTTCAGCTCCAGTGTGTTTTTCTTTGCAACGTGTCGTTTCAAACACCTTTCCTTTCACTCTGAGCTCTGCAGCTCGTGAACTGTGATGTCTGAAATCACCAGGAAACCAGCCACTCAGCTCTGGGAGTGACAGGTCAGATCAACGAGCACTTTGTAAGGAGGCGGCGTATTTACTCCCCTACTGCAGACTTGGCTGCGACATTAACAGCTGTGGAGGAAATATTAATAGACGGAAATGTAAATATACTCCATCACGAGTTCAGTTAAAATCCTGCGTTTGTATTTTAACCTGCAGAAGCATCAGCAGCAAAATGTGAGACTAGGATCAGCAGTAAAACTTCTTCATAACTGTCTCCTGTGACGGATCACTGATCCTGAGTCATCCACGCCTCAGCAGCTTTTTACTGTTGAAGGTTTTACTTCATGAACAGTTAGATTGTTCAGTCCAGCGGTTCCTAATCTCGGAGTCGGGACCCTCCAAGGGGTCACCAGATAAAAGCGAGGGGTCATCAGATGATTCATGAGAAAGGAAAGAAGAAAAAACTAAACTTCTACCATATAGATTTGTTAGACCTTATTTATAATTTCATTTACTGAACTGAAACCATGTTTAAGTTTCTACGAGACACTGATCTTTGTAAAAGGTCACAAACCAAGAACGTTAGTGTTTCCTAAATTTATATGTAATATCTTATTCTGTAGATTAACAAGCAACGGTGGGAAGAAGCTGAGTGCATTTACTTAAGCACCTGTACTTGAGTATTTGTATTTAATCTTCCTGTCTGCACTTCATTTATATTTAAAGTCTTTATTTGCTGTTGGGTGGATTCAACATATTGATAAAACACATATCTTGACCGAGTGTGTCTCTCTCTTGTCTCTCTCCTTTGTGGTGTAAAGATCACATGGCTTCACCTTGACTGACCCCACCCCCACCCTCATCCTGTTTCTCAATGGTTTACCACCGAGACGCCCGTCTGCCGCCTCACGTTCTGTAAGAGACTGTTAATAAAGTTCACCTCCATCACCGCCATGGCAGCCGCTCCAGATGCTCCCTGCCTGTCGGAGCTCGGCGGACTCCCCTACAGGAACATCAGCCTCATCTCCGGCACCCGACCCTGCAACCGGAGCACCGTCAGGACCTCGCCGTACACCCCGCAAGCCACCGCAGCCTTCGCCATTGCCATCACCTTCATGATGATCATGACCATCGTCGGGAACATCCTGGTCATCATTGCCGTACTGACGTCCCGGTCCCTGAAGGGGGCTCAGAACCTTTTCCTGGTGTCGCTGGCCGCGGCGGATATTTTGGTCGCCACGCTTATTATTCCCTTCTCTTTGGCGAACGAGCTGCAGGGCTACTGGGCGTTCAGCTCGATTTGGTGTGAGATCTACCTGGCGCTGGATGTTCTCTTCTGCACCTCCTCCATCGTGCACCTGTGCGCAATTGCTCTGGACCGCTACCTGTCAATCTCCCGGCCCGTGTCCTATGGCGCCAAGCGCACCCCCTCGAGCATCAAGGCTGCCATTATCGTCGTCTGGCTGATCTCTGCCGTCATCTCGTTCCCGCCTCTTCTCACCCTGGACAAGAGTGAAGGAGGCGAAGAGACTTGTGAACTAAACAACGAGCGCTGGTATATTCTCTACTCCACCATCGGCTCGTTCTTTGCTCCCTGCGTGATAATGATCCTGGTGTATGTGAGGATTTATCAGATCGCTAAGCAGCACACTCGCTGCCCGCCTGGGAAGAAGCAAAAAGCGGTGGCAGGAAGAAACGCCAACGTGGCAGCTAGTGAGGCTGTGCCAAAGTTATCTGAGCAGTCACAACAGAATGGGGATCAAGGATGTTCGGCTGCCGGCGAGCAAGAAAAAGTCCTGACCACAGTATCTGGCTCGGATTCCACCCCGTCATCTCTTCGAAAACCGGCCGAGAGCACCACGAGCCAGGACACTCAGCACCGACCTCCTCGTTCAAGTGCCGCTCCGGCCCAGAAATCCTCCTCTGCAATTCCCCAATGTGACAGCCAAATCCTCTCAGCTGTTCCCAACAAAGAGACCCAGAAACATCCTGACAACGGCGGGGAGGGGCTTCCCGACAACCCCTCCAGCTCTGGCTCCGAGCTGGAAATCGGCGAGGAAGGAGATCTCAGAGGGGACGTCAAAGGAGAGATGAAAAAAACCGACAAGACAACATTGGGACTGCCCCAAGGCAAGGGATTCAAAGTTCAGGTGCTGAACCTGGCCTGCAGGTACAAAAACACCATGGCCACATCCTCTGGCACCAAACTGGTATCCGAGGGAACGCCTCCGATTCAGGGGACGCCCGTTTCCCGCCGTAAAGCCATGGTGAACAGGGAGAAGAGGTTCACCTTCGTCTTGGCCGTGGTGATGGGCGTGTTTGTGATCTGCTGGTTCCCCTTCTTCCTCTCTTACTCCCTTCAGGCGGTGTGCCCGGAGACGTGCAGCATCCCCAACCCTTTGTTCAAATTCTTCTTTTGGATTGGCTACTGCAACTCCTGCCTGAACCCGGTCATATACACCATCTTCAACAAGGATTTCAGGAAGGCCTTCAAGAGGATACTGTGCAGGGACACCAAGGGTACGTTCTTCTAGAGAGGAAAGTATAATTATTTTTTGACCTGCCGCCGGACAGAAAAGACCTTTCTCAAAAATGACTTCTCTCTTTCTGTACTCTGTGTATTTGACTGGGATTGACCTTCTGCAGCCGCGACATAAACACTTGTACATTAAGGAGGAAATTGCATCCATTTTCTCTTCTCCTCGTGCTTCTGTCTGTTAGCTGAGTCAGAGCTGCACTGACAAAGACGGAGACTTCAGAAAGCCACGGTCAAGTGGCCGAATCAATTATCTTTAATGTTATTTAAGAATACAGTATAATTGTATATTCAGTGACTCTTAGGATGAATGATTTGATTATGTTTTGAAGCGGAAGTCGAGAGGATACGGGGTCTGTGTTCAGTAATTTAAAGTACAAACAGAGCTACGGCGGTGTATGTGCTTCTTGCGTGTTTGTGTGTGTGCATGGGAGTAGAGGAGAGTCGCCTGAGGGTCTTACTGGAAAAGAACAAATATCACTAAGTGTCCTTTATCAGAGATAACACGGGCACTCAAGAAACACAAGATCAGGGAAAATGTGAGCATTCTCGTGTCTGTGCCTCTGCCTCTCGCGCTTTCCCTCCCTCTGTTTCTCCCTCCATCTGAAGCTGTGACTTGGGACATGTACGTTATGATGGGTAGAGCTTTTTTCTTTTTTATTCTCGCTGTGTTTTCCCCAGTCTCTGTGAACCTTTGATGTTACACCTCTCTCTGGAAATTGCTCATTAAGGTGATGGCCAGAGGCTTCACTGGGGAAAAGAAACAAAAAAACTAGAGCAAGAAAGCTGAAAATCAGCAGAGGTTGCATGAAAGATGGAGAGTCTACATGTGAATGTGATACTCGGAGGCATCACAGGCTGAGCTGTTCGCTCTTTAATCTTTCCACCGCCCCCCCTTAAAGTTTTTTTCCTTCTCCTCTAAACTGAGAATGATGCAGGGAGTCGGTGCATGTGTTTTAGGTTGCAGCTCATGCAGTGTTTTCACAGCATTCACCAAATTAAATTGAAGACCTTTTTAATACTACGTCGGTTCCATTCAGTACCTTTCTTCACTGCTGAAGGACGACAGAAAACAAACAATAAGTCCTGCTACTGCTTATTCAGAGTGTGAATTTACTGACATTATTATTTTAACAATAAACAGCCCAGGGGCCCGTGGGGTCAGGGGGCCCCTGGGCTGACTCACATTTCTTGTTTGACAGTCACAGAGCTGAGTTAAAACGACGACAAAGACAGGGAAAACTATTTAAAAGAGACTCTCAAAACTACTAGAAATGATGTTTTCCATCTCTTTGAGAGTGGGGGTTTGTGTAGGAGGGATGGGGGGCCTCTTACGTCTGTGCACAGGGACCTTTTGTCCTATAATCCATGTCCAGGCCTGGACTCAGATAAGCGGCAGAAATTTGAAGGTTTTGAAAGTTTTTGCTAAAATTGATTCCTTACAAGTGTCTTCTGTCAGTCGAAGGTTAATGATGTTACTGTGTACAGCAGGCAAGCAAAAAATATAACTTATAATACATTAGCATTTGTTAGAGAAAGCTAAATTGACTGCTTTTTAAGAGATACCCCGAGGTTTTGATTTATTTGCTGCTTGTAATAAACATGAACGATAGTGGGCTGCGAACCCTTTTCTGCCAAAGCAATACGGACTGTATCTGAACCTGACCCTGACGATGAGCTGAATCCCTGATGAAGACGCTCCTCCTCCTCCTCCTCACTCTGGACTGATTTGATTTGGTGTGTGTGTATGTGAATATTGTATGTACATGTGTGTGTGTGTGTGTGTGTGTGTGTGTGTGTGTGACCGAGTGTTTGCAGCTGCATGTTTTTCAGAAAATGCACTTCTTATCTTTTGAAAGCCGACAGACTGAAGCATCCAGTACTGTATACACATGTAAGATAACACTGATGTTGGAATCAGCTTTTGTACAGTACTAGTCTAAACGTTAAACAATATTACTGCTTGTCGTCTTAAAGTCCAACTGAAACTAAAATGCATGTTTTTCTATACAGATCTGCTCTGTACGCTACATGTCCAGTCATGCTAGCAGCTCTGTGAGGCTGCAGACACAGCAGTGCTTTGAGCTGAATGCTAACGCCAGCATGCTAACATGCTCACAGTGACAATGTTAATGTTTCACCATCTTAGTTTAGGGATTATAGCCTGTTAACCTTTGATTATGATGCGGCGTTCGCATTAGCTGCCTCTAACGTTAACGTTACTCCAGTTCGGAGATGATGAGAATTTCTGAAAGCATCGATATCTTGAAAAAAAATCCAACACAAATACAATCCATTCAGCTGCTACAAATACAATAAAAGAAGCTAATTTAGGCTGTTTATCTGCCGTAGCTACAAGGTTAGCACCGAGGCTAACCACCTGCTAATAATGTGTGAATAACAGGTGTTTTTCCTGTTCTTAGCATTTTGCCCAGTCAGATATTTTGTTTGAAAAACAAATATGTTCTCAATATCGTATCGTTTTCGCGACTTGCTAAATTAATAACATATCCTCATAGAAAACGTAATCCGGAGACAATTACGCATCTTACAAAACACATTTGCTGTTGCAGTTTAGTTGTATAGACACTTAAATTCTAAAAACCATGCCTCCTTCTTGTGGATCAGTATTTACTCTGACAGAGGAGCCTCAATAAAACTGGACTGTGACACGCAGCTAAAAAGCTATGCTAGCTTCCTCCATGTTGGATTCTCCACGCTCTCAAAGCTCAGTATGTTAAGATGGCTTGCAGTTGCTAAATGACACATATTTGTGTGTTAAAGCTGTGGTGATTCCTCTGAAATGAATCAGTTTTCTTGCCTTAATATCTCCATCATCTCAGTGCCCTCCTCGCTAGCTCAGCTGTCAATCAAACACAGACATTAGCCTCCCCGCTAAGGCTAAAGGACCTTTTTGTTTTACTGCTAAAAAAAAGATGATTTCTGTGATTTCAGTTGGACTTTAACTTTGGAATAATATTCAAAGTACCACTCAGTATTGCCTTGTATCTACTCCTTCTATCTCTGCTCCTGTGCTGTTGTGTCCCAGTGCTATGCTTTTATTTTGAAACTGCTTCATATCAAGGGTTGAATAAAGGACATGGTGAGACTGTACAAGCACTGATTGCGCTCGCTTGTTGTTTCATGGGAGAGTGGGTGGGATTGACTGTGAGCACTTACAGACCAAAGAATAATGAAATCTGACAATTTACCATCGCTGCTTTCTGTCACAGTGTTTTAGGAGAATTATCTTTGTCTGCTTCAGTGACTTTTGACCCGAATATAAGATAGAAAACAATATTCACATGATAACGAGTCCATTGTTCTTTTAAGCAAAGTGTCAGCACCCAGAGATTACCAAAAATAAAATAAATAAAACCATAATATTATAGGTGATAATTAACTGTGTGAAGTGTGGGATGTGTTGTTTACCACAGTTTATGTCTTGCTGTAAAGACACACTTATGATTTAACAGTCATGAAGGCCAGTGGTATAATTTAGTGTAATGAGGATGAAGATGTTCTGTCTCCAGACGCTGGGGAGATATTTTAAAAAAAAAAAACCTGACTGTTTGTGTAGGATTTAAAAAACTTTGGATCTTGGTGACACCTAGTGGTGGCATTGAAAAAAGACCCTGTGGCAGAAAGCAACACATACAGATACCCTGCACCCAAACGACCCAGGACACCCAGGACAAGTGTTGATCCATAAGAAGATATATTTGTGGTTTTAAGAGCCAAAAAACATCTCAGTGTAGTTTTACATCTCCTCTCTCTGTTTTCTGAGTGATCCAATAAAAATAAAGCAGCAGATTTCAGGTAAAAACACTCAGAGAAACCAAATCCTGTAAAGGTTTGGATGGTGGGTCCAGGTGGGCGGGGCTTGGTGACTGCTTTGTTGTGACATCACAAAGTTCCAGAAGTCCTGACGGCTGGTTTTAAGGCTCAGTTTCTGAATACAGGCTGTGTGCATTTCTCTGTGGACTGAGGCTTTGATACTTTCACAGTATTAATATAGAAGCTAGAGCTGATCTATAATCACACTACACATGGACACAGACCTTTACACTGGAGGAGCTTTAAAGTTGTAGTGTTGGCCAGACTTTTAGAGCATGACCAGACAATACATCTCATTATGTCCTATAGCGGGGCCCATCTATTAACTTAATGATATCGACATTTAAAAGTTGTGTTGCCCTAAAAGTCCCATAACCTTGTTCACATAAGTTATTATCTTGTTTGAACAAAATTTAAATTAAAAAAAATCTTACTATAAGACTTAAGAAGCTCCGCAAATATATTGTACATGACTGAATGATTTATGTCTAATATTGTTAAAAACCATTCGCCTGGTTATTGCATATTAGAGAGTGAGTGGGATTTTCTAATTGCTAATTAAGAAACAGTATTCACATAGAAAGAGGGGCTTTAAAGTTTAAGATGGAATAATCACCTCCCAGCTCTGGCTGTGTGCCGCGAGAATGAGACTGATCCATCTGGTCTTTCCCAAAACATTGAACTATTCCATTAAAGCTGCAGCAAGTGTGTGTGCATACATTCTGCATATCTGAGCTGATGTGTATCTCTAAGTGTGAGCGCGACCGGAGGTTGAAGTTCTGAACTTTCTCTCTCGACGCCGCAACTCAAACGTCATAAAGTCCACCCAGATGTCAAACGATCTCAAACTGAGCCGGAGAAATTAAAAAAAAACAAAACAAAACAGTAAAATGTCACATTCGCTTCTGTATCTTTATGATGACAGATTCATAGCTGCAAGGCATTATGGTAGTGGATTTTTAATGTCCTTTTTATGACGCCATATTAAGCCTGTGCCGCGTGACATCGTCTGTTTCTGTCAGCGACGGTTCATAAATCACCTCAGCTGGAAACAGCTCAGCGACATTTAAAGCCGACTGCTAACAAGTTGACAACACGTCACACAAATACCTGCAGACACGGCAGCTAATGAAACGCTGTAAAAAACACGGGTTTTTATGT